ACTATGATTACAAATTTCTTCCTCTAAATTGTTGCATTGCATTGTAACCAACTATATTTATCATTTTTGTAATGTTTGGCTTATGTTTCATTAGTTCTTGTATTTCTGATCTCTTAGCAAAATCACCTTAAAATTATTTAACTTTGTTATTTTGGCTCGCTTTGTATTATCCACAGAATATTTTAACACTAATATTTTAATATAACAAACAAAGCTGTGTCTTCTATGAAAATAATGAAGAATTATAAAATGGTGTAGCTACCATAGAATTAATAACTGAAACAGCTATGAGTCATCAATGACTCTCAACTAAAGCTTAGGGGATATATGATCCCATTTAAAAAGTAAGGTTGACTGTCACAGATCTGTTATGCTTACACCCACAGAAAAATTAATAACCAATTAACTAAAAATGTTTTGCAACATTTTCACTATAGATAAGAGTACAGCATATATTTAAAAACTGAGGTTTTCTTATTAGTGTCTAAATTTAACTTATTTTTAATGCTTTCAGAAATGATATTTTTACATCCACTTTCTCACAACAACCGGGTCAGAAAAAAAAACCACCTCCTCGGCCACCACCACCAAAATTTAACAAGAATTATGTACAAAACCAAAAGGATAGATTGAAAAAGCCGGTATATAAAATTTTCTAATTAATATACATACATATAGTGTTTCAGTTAAATGGGACTATGTACCTAGATATTTGTTTTATTTATTGTCATGACAAAGAAACCTTCTCAAGACAGATGCGCGTACAATAGTAAAAAGAAATTTTTATAATCACTTCTTTACAAAAATTCAAGTTTATTCCTATTCTTTCTTCAAGGTCTGAATGACCTTCTTTCCATCATTAAGACTACCCCTTGAAACGATATAACTTTGTCCTGAGAAAATTTTTGCATGCAAAAATTAGTTAAACAAATGTTTATGTGATCCAATTCAGCTGAGAAAGCCTTATATATATGTACATTCTTATTTACTGTGATTGTAATTACTTTGCTTGATAACTTATGTAGGCAAGGTCAAGAGAACTCTTGACTAGTCTGTTTGGGAAGAAAAAGAATGACCATCATTCAAGCACAGTACAGTTAAATAGTCAAATACAGAATACGTTATTGCACTCAGAAACTCTAAATGGATCAGTCTCTTTGATAAACCTAAGTCCACCTGAGTCACCAACTTTTACAACTCGTTCAAGCAGTGATGGCCTTAGTATAGATAGTTTTGGCAGTGATGGCAATTCAAATCCATCGGTGTTCACAAGCAGTGGAAATACATCTCAAACAGAGAGTGCCTTTGAAGATGATTTTGACTTTTTTGGAATGTCCATTAAAAAAACAACACAAAATGATCCTTGGCAGATTAATTCGATGTCAGACCCATTCGGACCAATAGAAGTTACTAATCACAATGCATTTCAACCTGTGAAGCATGTAGGAGATGCATCCTTCTTTGCTTTCAATACGAATAATTGTAACCAAGTGCCTTTTAGTCAGGCCTGTCCAAAACCTATTCAGTCAATGCCGACTATTATTCGTGCGAAACCACCGAAACCAGCTGCACCAAAAATTTTACAAAAGAAACTAGGACAGCAGATCACTCAGGTTGAAACTGAGTTTAATTCGTTAAGTAGAGGAACAACGGGACCTTTTATTAAACCTATGACATTAGATTTGACACAGTCATGGCCAGAAGATACTAAAGATAGTCCTTCACCACCAATGCCTACAATACCACCACCTGCACCTCCATCAGAATATTTTGCAGAAGAAGATTCTGACCGTTCTGCAAATAATAGCAAAGAACCTTTTGGAATTGCACTGTATGATTTCCCAGAGGTACTCGAGGATGATCTATCTTTCAAAGAAGGAGATATAATATATTTAATAAGGAAAGTAAATGATGATTGGATGGAGGGTAGAATAGGAAGTAGACAAGGAATATTTCCGATCAATTTTATCGATATCAAAGTACAATTACCCGGATTACCGGACAATATTGTTACTGCTATTTATTCTTTCAACGGCGAAACACCAGAAGATTTAACATTCGATGTGAGTCTTAAAAATGTATATTAATGCTTTAACTACCAGAAGCCTGTTAATAAAATTTGTAATACCTGTGTTATATCTGAAAGAAGTTTAATAACATTATTGCTAAATATTAATTTCAAAATAAATTCGTTCTTGTCAAAGTTATGAAGCACAAAGTTTAAGCACTATTAAGTAGCAGCCGATAGATAAAGTATATACAATATATTTCCTACTTATAATTATTAATAATTTAATATATGTTTATTAAGTAAATAAATTTAATTTTAATAATAATTTCTTGCTTATTTTTGTTATTTATGTATGTTACAGGAAGGTGCAAAAATTACAGTTTTATCAAGGTTATCGCAAGATTGGTATTACGGTGAGTGTAACGGTCGGAAAGGACAATTTCCAATAAATTACGTAAACAGAACCCCGTGCAATATTCCCCCATCACATTAATTGTCACCATACACTAACATTTTAGAATCCGTTTTAATAGATACATATTTTTCCATTAATTCCTTCATAAAGAAAAAAGATTGAAAGTTAAATGTTCATAATCTGAAGTGTGCTTTTTTAAACATATTGTACGGATAAAGATATATTTTGTAAAATTGTATTCGGAAAATGACTGAATGATATAGAATCTTACATCGTTTTGTAAAATTTGCAAGTGAAATATTTTTTATAAGTTAGTAAATCAGATTTTTGAAACTACAATATTAAAAGGCAAGATAATCTTTTATTATTACTTTTTACGAAAAACTACAGATATAAATCTTTGTAATAATTTTGTTATGTTAAATGTAAGTTTATATCGTATTTCATACAGTTGTGCACAAAATTCATATTATAAGAAATATTTACTGTCAAAAAATATTTAATTTTTTTGGTATGATGTAGATATTATTTAAACTGTTTCTTCCTCCTAACATAGTTAAT